TAAATTTCTTGTAATTGTATTTTTATTTTTTAGATTTTTTATAGTTCATACATTCATATTTTAATGTATTGGTGATGGTTGATTAAAGGAAAAATTATTTATATAATTTAAATGTAATATAAGATTTTGTAGGTTCAAATTCGAGTTTGAGTTCGAGCTTGATTCGAACTTAAAATCGAGCTTCAATCGAGCTCGAGTCTCGAGCTTCAATCGAGCTCGAGTCTCGAGCTTCAATCGAGCTCGAGTCTCGAGCTTCAATCGAGCTCGAGTCTCGAGCTTCAATCGAGCTCGAGTCTCGAGCTTCAATCGAGTTCCTGAAATTTTTTTGAGTTTGAACCTTTTCGAGTTCGAGTCGAGTTTTAATATTATATTTTGAGTTCGAGCTGAGCTTGATAATTTTGAGCTCGCGAGTTTTCGAATCGAGTCTACTTTTAAAGTTTTCGAAGGCACAATAAGCTTGAAGACAACATCCCAGACTCCATTTTCAGATGTCAGAACCTGGAAGCCATTGATTTGTCTGAAAACAGCTTAACGGGTCCCATCCCGAAAGGAATCTTCCAGCTTAAGAAGCTCAATAAACTGTTGCTTTTATCCAACAATCTCTCCGGATAAATCCCACCGGAGATCAGAAACTGCTCCTCTTTGACTCGATTTCGGGCCACCGATAACAAGTTAACCGGATCTATCCCTTTCCAGATCGGGAGCTTAAAGAACTTGAATTTCATGGATCTAGGGTCGAATCGGTTAACTGGATTTATACCGGAAGAAATATCTGGTTGCCGGAATCTTACTTTCGGTACCTTGCCTGTCAGATTAAGCAAGCTTGTTTCACTTCAGTTCGTTGATTTCTCTGATAACGTAATCCAAGGAACGCTAAGTTCGAGTCTCGGTTCACTGAGTTCACTTACCAAACTCATTCTCGGGAAAAACCGATTCTCCGCTTCCATCCCGACTCAACTGGGGTCATGCTTGAATCTACAGTTACTAGACTTGAGTTCAAATCAGCTGACGGGAAATACTCCGGCAAGTTTGGGAAAGATTACAACGTTGGAAATCGCTCTTAATCTGAGCTGGAACCAGCTCACCGGAGATATCCCGGAAAATTTCACGGCATTGATGAAGCTTGGGATTTTGGAAATATCTCATAATCAACTCGTCGGAGATCTTCAATATCTCGCCGGGTTGCAAAACCTCGTGGTTCTCAACGTGTCGCATAACAACTTCACAGGGAGAGTGCCCGACACGCCCTTCTTCTTGAAGCTACCACTCAGCGTCCTTTCTGGTAATCATTCGCTCTGCTTCTCCGGGAACCAATGTTTCGCCGTGGAACACGACGGGAAATGTGGCGGATACTGGTCGAAGAGCAAGGCAGCAAACGTAGCCATGGTAGTGTTGCTCTGCATGGCTTGCGCTCTCCTCCTAGCGGCGCTCTACATCATCATAAGCTCCAAAAAGAGATGTCGTGGTCCTTACCATGATTGCGAGAACGCCAATGGAGACGCTGACCTGGAAATGGACCCACCTTGGGAGCTAACTTTATACCAAAAGCTCGACTTATCAATCGCTGACGTGGTAAAACCCCTGACAGCTGGTAACATAATCGGCCGTTGCCGAACCGGCGTCGTGTACAAAGTCACCGTCCCATCAGGAGTAACCATAGCCGTTAAAAGATTCCGTTCATCGGAAAAACATCATCTTCATCATTTTCATCTGAAATTGCCACGTTGGCAAGAATACGACACCGTAACATCGTGAGATTACTAGGCCGGGCAGCCAACAGTAAAACAAAAATGCTATTTTACGATTACATGGCGAACGACATATTGGGTGCTTTGTTACACGATGGTGGCGGAAGAGAGAGATTGGATTGGGACATGAGATTCAAGATCACATTAGGCCTTGCAGAATGGTTAGCTTATTTGCGCCACGATTGCGTGCCTGTGATCTTACACGGTGACATGAAGTCTCATAATATCCTGTTAGGCGATTGTTACGAGCCTCGCTTGGCAGATTTTGGGCTGGCTAGATTGGTGGACGATGAAAATGGTGGCTGGTTTTCGGCCAACCCGGAAGTTGCTGGCTCCTACGGTTACATGTCACCAGGTGATTACTTAAGTTTCACGTGTGATATTTCTGAAAAAGTTTATGATCGCATCGTTTCATTTAGATTCGAGTGTTGGGTCTCCACTGCCCTGTTCGTTTACTTTTGTTTCACTGCCCTGTTCCTATGCGTTTTGCACAATGTATGAAAATTATTGTGATGTAATGGAGTGATTTACACTTGTTTGGTGCAGAGTATGGTTGCATGTTGAAGATCACAAAAAAGAGTGATGTGTATAGCTATGGAGTCGTATTGTTGGAGATACTAACGGGGGAAAACCCGTAGGCCCATCATCCCCCGAAGGCCAACAACATGTAACCCAATGGGTGAAAGATCAGTTGAAGAAGAAGGAGCCTGTACAAATCCTTGATTCTAAACTCCAAGGTCACCCAGATGCTCAGGTACAGGAAATGCTCCAAGCTTTAGGAATCTCATTGGTATGTACAAGCAACCGTCCCCAAGATCGACCCACAATGAAAGACGTGGCCGCATTGTTAAAAGAAATTCGACAAGAAGAGCCCCATAAGCCGACTTGCAATTCCATTTCCTCAAAACAGACACAAACTACTCCTTCCTACTACTCTTCATCATCCTCATCAGTGCTACTCCTCCAAGGCTCCTCTCAATCTTAATCTCAAGCTCGAAGTTCCCTCGTTGTTTAATCTTCTTTCACACCAAATTATTTAATTGCTTCCTAAGAACCCATGCCTGCCTCTTTTTTTTTTTGCTAAGTTGCTTGTACAAAGTTAATTGTAGCTTAAGCTGTTATCAGTTAAAACGGTGTGTTCTTGTAGTCATGATTAGAGTTTTAATAAGAAGGCCAGACGCGATGCTTGATGAGCGTGTTTAGAAATGAAAGCATCTCTATAATGTATATGGATGCTTCTTTTATGCATTAAAATGGAAGAACATGTGATGAATAGTTAGCAGGCAGATGGTGACAAGAGGGGAACATGGACATGTCTTGGATGTGAAGTCATTTATGGAAACGTGTTGCGTTTTGTGTGGCGTTCTGCAAAGTGCGAAGGACGTTTTCGAGGATGATTTTTCAATGATTACTCCTATGAACTCACCTCTCTCCCTTCCAATATTTTACCTGCATAATAATTAGTAATTGTTTTTAAGCATCAAAGGAAAGACATCCTCGGATTCAAATTCAATGTAAATCATCCATGTCCCTACACCATGTGACGTAGATCATAGATGCAACGTACTACTAAAATAATTTATCCAACATTTAGCTAATGAAATATATTATGTGATTGACTTAAGTATACAAAATGTGTCCAACCTATGCCTGTTTTTTTAGTTCAGTGCTTAATGTTTTATTCCATTATTTAAAATGGGTCAAGCCGTGACGAACCGTTAGTTTTCTTCGTTAAGTGACATATGTCACAATCTCGTAATTTTGAAATTTATTTTTATAAAAATATTATTATTTTAAAAAAAACCTTATTTTTTAAATTACAAAAAAACCTCAAAATCCGTAAAACCCCCAAATCCTAACACTAACCCACCGCCGTTGCCATTTCCGACCACGACCATCACCGTCGAAGTAGTCATTGTCATCATTTTAGCTATAAGTCGTCGTAGTTGTCGTCGATTGGCTGTCGAAATTGCTTAGGATTGCGATTTTCATTCTAGGGTTCGCATGGTATAAAATGTCGATTTGCCATAGATCAGCCGTTGATCAGTCACGATTTCATGGGGTTTTGGTCATCGGGGGAGGTGAGGTAGGGTGGAGCTTCATCGACGACAAAGGGCGACGGTCGGCGTGGGTTTAGGGGTTGAAATAAATGTTTTCAAAGTTTTGGAGTTATTTCGAAATTTGTGTTTTCTTTTTTAAAAAATATAATTTTACTTTTTTAATTTTATATTTTAAAAATTATTAGATTACGACATATGTCACTTAACGGAGGAAATTAACGGTAGTTCACAACTTGACCCATTTTGAGTAACGGAATGAAACGTTAGACACTAAACTAGAATGAAATAAACGTTAGGTACTAAACTTAAAAAACATGCATAAATTGGACACCTTTTGTATATTTGAGCATATGTGGTTTTACCATATGAAGAAACAAAGCTTGCTTATAGCAACAACTAGAAGCAAACCATATAATTATCAATATTGGCTCAGTAACGTAAAAAGGCCCACCACATGCGCACAGGCTGATCATTAGATTGATAGGGACACAAAAAGGAGTAATTATGGTTCAGTTTGAGCACAACTTTATAATTATCAATATTGGCTCAGTCAGTATATAGTACTGTTAGTGTAATATCAGAAGGTGATTGATGAGACTCTGGCCTTTTCTTGTTCTATTAGTTTTTCTCATCATGAATGCAATTCGTTTGAGAAAAATGATGCTTGGATTGAGTCAATGCTAACTTTTCAAATATGATTATTTTTTTGGTTGAAAATCAAATGTTTGATATTATTTTTGAGTTCAAAAAGAATTTTTAGGCAAAAACATTTCCAGAAGCATTCCTAAACGATACCATAATAGGTTTGGTTCAAAGGGGAAAAAAAACCAACAACATTGTATTTTGTGAACCCCATTCTGTGTAAAGATTCAGTCGCAGTAAAAGTTGGTAGAAATTTTGCCATGGATGGAGTGATTGCTGTAAAAATGTGGATTTCAACTGTCTATGAAAGCCAGCTGATCGGCCTAAAGCAAGGCAATGGGCCAAATAAAGTCGATATCCAAGGCTTCTTAACGGGCTTTAATCTTGCTATCCAACTTCAGGTTAATCTAACGAATTAAACTATTAATTCGTCAGATTTCAATTCTTTCATTGTGAAAGAAGAGAAGATGGAAAAACTGTCATGGTAATTTAGTATTTAAATACAGCTATAAGTTATGGGTTTTGACTTTCTTTTCCGTCTAAAATTTTCCTTTACAATGCTCAACCTGCCTTAGAAGCTCAAAAACTCGAGAACAACTCTCCTCTAGCGAGGTCTGTCTAGTTGATTTGTTTCACACTTAAGCAGCTGGCATAACGAACAAACATGAGCTTAAAAGTTGGAGGGCAAATAGAGAAGGTGAATGGAAGAGAACTTTCCTACTCTGAATTTGTTGAAAAATACTTGGACAAAAACCAGCCTGTGCTATTAATTGGTTTAATGGATGATTGGACAGCTTCCAAACACTGGGTTTCCGCCAATGGCCAACCTAACCTCCTCTTCTTTTCTACCCATTTTGGTAAATCCAAAGTTCAGGTATTTCGTTGTCTTTCTCAACTTTTCATTTCGGTTTTCTTTTGGTCGTTTTTACAAACACTTGGGGTACAATGGTCATGGAATTTACTGTTTGAATCCCCCACCCCCGAAAATTACGTACTATAGGTTGCAGATTGTGGTACAAGGGAATTTACCGATCAGAAAAGGATAGAGATGTCTGTTTCGGAGTTTGTTAATCACTGGCTTCAGGGTTCTAAGGAGAACCTTGATGTTAATGGGAAGTCCGTTCTATATTTGAAGGACTGGCATTTCGTGAAGGTGCGGGGTTTAATCTTTTAGTAGTAATTGTTAGTTGATCATCGTTTCATAGAGGTTCCTCCTTTTTTATTTTAAATTCGTAAGCCGCGCTAGTGTTATGCACTTATGCTCTATGCTAATATGTTACTAAATTAACAACCTAGTTGTTTCAGTTGTTCATGTCCTTTTCAATCTTTTTGTCAGGAGTATCCAGAATATCAAGCATATAAACTCCACCTTTTTTTACTGATGATTGGCTGAATCTTTATCTTGACAATTATCGCATGCATGACGATCTGGACACCGATCAAGTGAATAATGATATAAGTTGCTCTGACTATCGCTTTGTGTATATGGGAGCTAAAGGTTTGAATATGTATGCAACATTATCTTCTGTGGTTGGATATATTATAGAACTTTAGATATATGCCTTTCCATTGAAGATGCTTAATGACCATTCTGTATCCATGAATATTTAGCGTAAAGGAAACTATCTAACCATTTAAACCATTTGATTCCAGGATCCTGGACACCTCTTCATGCTGATGTTTTCAGATCATATAGCTGGTCGGCAAATGTGTGTGGCAAGAAAAAGTGGCTTTTTCTGCCTCCTCAGCAAGTTAATCTTCTGTTTGACAGGCATGGACAACTTCTTGCTCAATATGGCATTAAACAGGTGTATCATGTATGTTTGGAGATTTTAGCATTCTAGCCTTCTCGTACTAGTTAAAAGGACATGTAGTTAGTTTTAGAACTATAACAACTATTTCTTTGGCATTTATTGTTGTTGTTGCTGGAATCCTAGAGAAGAACAATACCCAGCTATGGAGTTGCTTGAGTTTGTCCTGCTTTGCACTAATGCTGAAGTCAGTTAAGGTGCTATTAGAGGCAGAGCAAGTGTAAAGAGTCTCTGAGAGATCCCTTACCTAAATGGCATATGGTCCTTTAAATAAGAAGCCTCAATTAATCAGAATTAGGGAGTGATGCATTGAGTGTCATCTGTTTGTGCCTGGTGGCTTTAATACTAGCCTAGCATGCTGAGTCGCTGCCCTGAGCTTTAATCCTGTGGTTTAAATTTGTCCTACACAATGGATCCATGGTCTTTACCCATATCAGATATCACCTGAAAGGTTAAAAAGATACTAAAAAGATGAGAGAAATTTACCTGCATTCTTTTATGGGGTTGTGATGACAAATGCATAGGATATTAACATTTTATCACGTTGTATGAGCTGACTGCTGTCACAAGAATGCACTTTCTACTCAATGCAGGCCTTTAATGCCATTATTTCTTGACTGCTGTCTTATTTTACCTCAGGAACATGAAAAACACCGTATATGACATCTTTGATGACATTAGTGAAACTAAATTTCCTGGTTTTAGGAAGGTAACTAGTCCTTCTAGAGCTTCAGAGTGTATTTGTATTTTTTCCCTGTGCATATTATAACATATGCTCTTATTTTCATGTGATAGGCTATCTGGCTGGAGTGCACACAGGACCGGAATGAAATTATCTTTGTGCCAAGTGGATGGTACCATCAAGTCCATAATCTGGTAAATTACATTCTTTTTTCCTTTTTTTATTTTTTATTCTTTCCAAAAAAATCTTTTTGAAGGTTATCATACTTTGAGGGCATGCAATTTAAAAGGATCCCTTGAAAAAGGAGAATAGACTTAGAGGAAATGACAGGTAGAGGGGTTGGGGAATGGAAGGGCATTGGCTGAGGTGTTTATTTTCATGGTGCTTCTAACTTATAAAGAGGGGTAAAATGCTGTCTTGCAATAATAGGTCCCATAAAGAGGGGTAAAATGCAATCTAGGTCCCAAAGCTCCTGTGCTGCTGTAGTTTGCCTAAAGCTTTAGTCTCGAGACTCATATAGATGTTAGCTTTCTTGCCCGTGATGATTGTTACATCTCTTTAACTCATAATACAAAGTCTTTCAGGAGGACACAATATCAATAAACCACAATTGGTTCAATGGCTACAATCTTTCTTGGGTGGTAAATGCAGTTACTACAGACTTGTTTTTTAGAAATATAAGAACCCAGTTCTTCTACAGAGTTTGAAGTATGCCTTGTTAATTATTCTTTCAGTGGGATCTATTATTAAGAGACTACAAGGAGGCCAAGGAGTACATAGAGGATATCAAAGACATTTGCGATGATTTTGAAGGGCTCTGTCAACGCAATCTTGCAGCAAATACAGGTATATTTTAATCCAGCTGAAATGTGTTTTATTTTCTTCTTCTAGTCGCTTTTCATAGTTTGATAAAATTTGTTCTCTTTCCACAGGAATGAATTTTAATGATTTCTTCATCTTCATATCACACTTTTCACTGGCCAATGTGGTGGAGCTATATTATCTACGTGGTGAATCAACTCTGAAAATTCAATCTGCCAGTGCTCTGCTATAGTAAAACATTTTGCTCTGAACCTTGCATCGATAAGGAAAATAGCATTGAAGATGAAATCTGAATGTGTGCAAGGAAATCTTGGAAACGTAAATTTGTGGGAAACTCTAAGCGATCCTAAGTTTCTTAAACTATGCACCGGTTTAGGCAGAATATATTCAGTTGTCCCCGAGGAAGAGGACTGGAGCTGTTCCGTGAAGAAAATTCTGATGGCTGATTTTGAGAAGTACGGATCTCAAGTTTGTAGTCCAGAAGATCTCGTTACATTTATAGACCTTGCCGTTTCAAAACTTGGTAGCAATTGCAATGAACAAAACACTCTTCTGTCAGCAATATACGAAATCCAGCCACTTCAACAAAAGTAGCATTCTTAACAGTAATTTTTCCCTCTATATCCATGTATGCAGTCGACTCAAACGTAGACAAGAGGCTTATGGAAGCATTCAAGAAAAGCTTATGCAATGGAAGTGTATATGCACTACAGCAGGAAACTTGACCTTTGTAAGTTTGTTGTATTGCCTAGAATCAAAATCGACACATTTCGTTCATCTATATATATATATTTAAGGGTTCTTTATTTGGCCCCCTTTTCTTGAGCTCTCAAACATCTAAATGTGTGTAAAATGAGGAAGAAAATTCTTCTGTTATTTACTATGATTGAGAATTTAAGATTTTAGCAGCAAACAAGAAAAGACAGACATCACTTGCTAGAATTATTAACAGTTTGTATTTTTCCCTCCAACTTTTACATGTATATAGTCCCCAGCTGGGAGGGCAAATCAACCTTCCAGGGGACCAAAAATATACATTGATTGATAGAGAGAAAAAGATCTAAGAATCAACCTGGGATGAAAACTAAATACCCGGAGAGAAAATTGGGACAAAATTAAAAATAAAGGGTTCAAAGTTGAAACAGTCAAGGACATCTTACATTTCTTCCTGGACCTCCATAGTAAAAGTAAGTTCCCCAAACATTGTTTCTTCCTTGTCTGATGTCGTAACAATTTGAATGATCAGCCAACAGTCGAAGGTTTTTAAACGGAACCAAATTATTATCCCAATCGACAGTCTGCAAGTTCCTGAAATAAGCTGCTTTCCGGAAGCCTTCTTGGGCAAATTTGCCACTGCCCATTTGTGTTGATGTGTGAAATCCTAATGATCTGGTGTTCACAACTTCTCCTCCAAATTGTACCATGTTTGCATGGCTTCTCAAGTGACTGAAAAGAAATGCAGGCCAGTATCCCACCAGTAATCCTGATCCAAATTCTAACCACCAATGTCCATGTTTTGGATCCTACAAAAAATAAAACTGTTTCATATGTTGGATGTTGTATGATGTTTCTGTTCATGACGCGGTTTTGTAGAATGGTGGTAAGCACTCACCTTCCAGACCATTAAGATGATATCGAACTGCCTGCTATTGAAGGAGGACCTTGGAGAGATAGCTGCTCCAATAGCAATCTTGTTGTTGATCTGGACAAATCCAGAGCAAAGCAAGTTGTAGCATCCTGTGGCGTGGTAAGCATCATTCTGTAATTTAAAAGTTAATTAGCAGTTGATTCACCTTTTTTTGGTTTTAAATATTTCTTTCGGATTTGGAAAGACAGGTAGATTGCTAGTTGCTACACATTATACTCACTGTCCAGTATATGAAGAACCTTGGGCGATTATCTCCATATAGCTCAGGGCTAACCTAAAGAAACGTGAATATGGAAATCTTATCAGAAGCATATATAACTTCTCAAAGAACACTTTGTGATTTTTTTTGTACCGAAAGTTTAGGGACATGCCTGCCAACCAGCTTCAATGGTATTCAGATCATTTCCAAAAGAACCAGAGATGATCCATATCTGTGACAAGCTAAACTCGTATGCATTTGTCACGCGAGGCGCCCATACGTTTATGCTTGCTTTTGCTCCATAATACTGATCTCCATTCTCAAACACAACTGCATGCTGCAATTAGAAGATACGTTTTTCTGATACCAATCTCATTGTCAAGACCAACTGCCAGTTTTACTCATATTTTCTGTCTTTAATGTTAAAAAGTAGATAAGTTTAGGTGTCAAAGGTTGAAGGTACTCACCTCATGGCCGCTGCTCGCGGAGTCTCTCCGCACATGTCTTCTTCTTCCATATCTTCTAACAGAACTTGCTCTCAGAATGTCTTTCTCAGTTGTCCTTCTGACTGGAACAGTCCCTTTGGGACAGGATTCACCTGCGTCTGTCCAAAGCTGGAAGCTTTCAGAGCTTGCTTCTGTACAGTTATGACCTTTTGGCCTCGCCGGTGGATCCTGTCAGAACGAAGCTTCCATTAGTTTTTGTTTCATGCTCACCGACACAAATGACAAAACCATAATGTCTTGAAACTCAATGCATTGCTCATGTCCATTAAACAAGAAGAAAATTTTACCAATGGCTTCTTCCCTCTAAGCTCAGGGTGATCAAAAGCAGGTTGAAGGTGAGATAGAACACAATCTATGACATCACCATCTGGACTCTGCAGCAACAAAGGAAGAAACCAAAATCATATAATCCATCAAGCCCACGAATCAAAGACTAGCTAAAAGTTTCAAAGAAGATGCCTGAATGGTCTTCACAGCAGGCTTGTTTATCTTCTTGAGATAAGCGTCGACTCTCCTTAGCTTCTGACTGTCTTTATCAGGGTTAAAAGTATGGTTCACCAGTTGCCTGTGGCCGGAATCCGGTAAAGACAGGATGGGGCCAAGAGAGGAAGAAACAACAACGAGGAAAGCAACAAAAATGGGAATCATCGAAAAACTAGTATTGTGGAAAGCAAGGATTCAGTTTGTATGCATTGGGTGTTGTCTTGTTGTGTTCACAAAACAAGAACCGCACTCTTCTCAGGCCTCACTTCACTTCCATTTCCATTGTTCAACATATAAACAAATCCAAGAGTTTCTAAGAAAGTGCTTTTGGATTTTGAGATACAGTACGCACCAAGAAACTTGAAGCACCACCACCTCTTACTCTTAGTCTTAATCATAGTTGGTCCTGTTCTTTTTCAAGTTTGGAGTGGGAGAATATGTAGAGAAACATTTGAACATCTTTTTGTGTGGGGGCATTTGTTGTTAATTGAAAGATACTGCCGTTTTACTAGTAAATAAAAATAGTGAAATAAAATTATTATGCTGAGTAAACCATACTTATAAAATCAATCTTATATGTATTTGTATAATCTCGAAAGTGAATGTTATCCCAAAATTAAAATTATATTCCAAATTTCATATACCTTGCAATATGAAAGTTGAAAGCTTAATGGTGTTTGAAGTAGGTAGATGGGTGATCTGATGAGGCACTTAATGCATGGTACTGGTAGTATCCTGACCTGGTATTTGCAGGCATCAACAAATTTCCCAGTCAAGAATTGTACACAATATCTTCTCCTTAAATCTTCAAGTTTGGTCCCCAAATATTCAAAACTATTGGAGGAAAGGAATCATTGATTCCTACATCAATTTAGAAAGGTCTGGATTATTATTAAGCATGAGACTTAAAAATACAATAACATTAGATTTTAGAGACATGAGCCCTTGTTGTGGTTAGCTTTTTGGGGTTAGGATGCTTGCCACTTGCAATTCCACTGTTTTCTTTTTCTTTTCTTCTTTTCAGGAATGACCACTTAATAGTCCCCACCCACCTCTGCAACGAATTAAAGCTAGCTGTTGACAGGGATTGACCGAGGTGTACAGTGCGATCGCACCTTTTAGAATTTGTAATTTCTCTTATATTTTAAGTATCTTCTTTGTATTTTATATGAATTATCTCATTTTGCATTTTCTAAAATTTTATAATTTTATACATTTTAAAATTTTAATATAATTTCTTAAATTCACACCTCTAACATAAATTTCTACGTCTATCCCGACTATAAAGGAATATTGGGCCACTGCAAAACTAGTCACCCTTAATTCTAAGCAACACAGCATTGCCATGGGGATTAAGATTAAAAGCATGCCAATGCCATGTATAAGGATTACTATATATGCATACATAAAATGTAAACAGAAGCAGTGTAGCAATGGAGGTCAAAATGGTTTCTTTGTGCTAACATTTCGGTGTAATAATTAATGTGGGTGAATTACAGGGTGGACCACTATAAGTTTTTGTCTTAGGATAATAAACTAATGCTACCGAAAACTATGATGAAGCCTAATTACTCAGGCACTGATTAGGTTTGATGTCATATGATGTGCGATTTCCAAGCTAAACACATCCAACGGTATACTTCTAACCTCATACAATTCATTACTTGATACACTTTAAACAAAGTGTTGTGAATATATACACGGAATTTAAAAAAAAATATAAAATATAATTAACTGAACGACCTTAGTAGTTAAAGAGATTATTGCTCTCTTTGTAGATATTGAGTTCGAACATCTGCATCTATTGAGTGTGTATGCTATCAAGAGTCTAAGAAAATTCTGAACAATTATCATCTTATAATCATCTTAAACTATTAAAAGAATATAAAATATATAATAATTTTTTAATTTTTGAATGATGATATCATCACTACCATGTGATGTAATCTTGTGGTGATGCACCTCTAAAATTTAGTCAAATATCAAACTATTTGTCGGAATAAAAATATATGTATTAAGTTAGAAGGAAAAAATCTAGGTACCAAATTATAAGAAAATGATAAGTACAAAGGTCATGCATGTATTTAAACCATTAAAGTTTATTGTCGATTTTAAAAAAAGTATATATGGATACATGGATAAATGGGTGAATATATAAGGATACATGTATAAGTGGAGTATAAGAAAATGGTTCTGTCAACTTTCTTTAATACTTTTAAACACCAAATGACAATCCAGTAAAGTCTAAAGCATCGCACTATGGATGTATAAGGAAAGACAATTTATTATAAGTTTAAGAAAAGACACTACTAGAAATATTAATATTTTTTAACATTTTCGGTAGAGTGTTATTTAAAATATTATTTTTTTTATCAAAAATATTAATATCAGGCGCTATCTAAAATATTATTTTTTCTACCAAAAATGTTAATATTATAAATATTCATTTTAGGTAGTGAAATTAACATTTCCGCTAAAATAAATAACATTTTAGGTAGCGCTCTACCATAAATATTAAAAAAATATTAATATTTTCAGTAACACATTTTCTTAAACTTATATTAAGCTGTCGTACAACATAACTACCCGCCAAGTGTTGATTGGATCGATGGAGATGCGCTTGCCAACCAGAATCAAAATAATTTTATATCTAAATTAAATTTAGGGTAAAGTACAAAAATGGTTCATTGACTATAGGATGTTGTTTAATTGAGTCTCTCGACTATTAAAAGTTACAAAATAATCTTTTGACTATAGGGTGTCGCTTTGTTGAGTCCTCCAACTATTAAAAGTTATAAAATGGTTATTTGGTTATTCATATGTTCTAAACTCATCATTTTCTATTAAAAAATTGACAACAATCTGAGTTGGACGTTAATCTGTTGACTAAGATATATTAAAATCTGATCATAGAATCTCAAACGACTATCATATCTTAGTCAACATGTTAACGTTTAACTCAGACGACCGTAGATTTTTTTTACCGAAAAGTACGAGTTTAGAACATATAAATAGTAGGTTGACCATTTTGTAACTTTTAATAGTCAAATAACTCAAGAAAGCAGTGTCCTATAGTTGATGAATCATTTGTGTATTTTACCCTTAAATTTAAAATTTTCAATTTTTGAAATCAAAATAAACGAAGTATATACCAACGAGGTTGGTTTAAGTGGTAAGCAGTTTGATATAACTTAAGCAAGTCTCGAGTTTGAGTC